CTGTAGCTTTTGAAGTTCCATGCTGCCTCCACCCACAATCAACATCCTCTTTGACCTGGATGAATGTGCGGCATTTAAGGCCTGAGCCACAGCTTGGATACTCAAGTAGTTCACATAGCTGTCTTGGGACAGGATTCTTTCAATCTCTTCCTGGGGCAGCATCTTCACATTATCCTTCTCTCTGCATTTGGTCATACCTCTCACAGACAAGGGATGCTTTGAATAGGAACAATCAAATGCTTCTTCCGAATACCGTTGACTAGTCAAGGACATTGGCCCATAGTAGTCCTTCTTCATCCTTTTTTTGGTTTTCATTACAAAGGACAAAGAGCCATGGGCATACTGGAGGCAATCAATATCACGTAACAACATTTTGTTCTGAAGAACTGTGGTTATCCAGACTTTCCCCTCAGTCTGTATCCTTTCAAGTAAGGACTGTACCTCTATGATTGTGTAAAGTCCACTTTGGGAGTCTGCAAAGTAAACAAATACATTGACTTGTCTCCACATGGCAGGTGCTTCACGGGGTATCCATAGCCAAGTTTTTCGTAGTACTCTTTGTGTGAAGGCAACACAAATTTCCCTTTTGTTCATCAGATGTGTCAAGGTACTCAGGAACCTTTCACCACTTTCATTGTCTGGAGCAAAGAGGCCGACCCACGTCCACCTGAAATGCAGGAGGAGTTGGACCATCCCTTGGTACTGCGTTTCTTGGTTTTGGCAGCATTTGGTAGACAAAAGGGGACTGGAATTTATCAGTAAGCACGAACCCATAACTGAGCTATTGAGGAAATGGAAAGAGATTTTGGAAATAAAACATTTTTTAAAAAAAAATATATTAAGTAATTCTTTTACCGATTATCTTGCTAGGGAGGGGGGACATGGATGGTTATTTCAATTCCTGGAACTGGTCTTTCCCCTTTTTCCATCAGTCCCCCCCCCCGCCTTTTGTGGATTATAAAATGCAATGGCGCAAGGAGTAGTAGAGAAGCAGAGATTTGTTTTAAAAAGATGACTTTGCTTTGAGAGCTCACCTTATCAGCAGGAAACATCAAGCAGACTAAACAAGTTGAAATGGAATGCAAAGGGAAAACAAAGAGGAGTTGGAAGGGGAAGGTAGGAGGGGGTGAGGAGGAGAGAGGAAAAG